CCCACCATTCTTGGAGTGGCCTCCTGCCTAGGCCCTCCCCAGGTGACCGTAAAACAGCCATGACCTGATGGCAAGCGGTGACAGCTCTTAACATAGGGGAGGATCACGAGTTCCAGCCCAGCCTGGGCAACTCAGTGATTATAGCAAGACCCTGTCTCAAAATAAAATAATTTAAAAAGGGCTGAGAATGTAGCTCAGTGAAAAGGGCCCTGGGTTCAATTCCCAGTACAGCAGAATAAACAAAACAAGGAAGAACTGCAAATTTGACTTTGTCTGGACAATGTGCCATGGTCTCCAGGGCCAGTGCGTAGCAAAATAAAAGCGGTGAAGGTGATTCCTCCCACCTTCCCCCAGCCCGGCACCACCTCACCCCCTCCCTTAGGTACTTAGGAGTGTGCTGGCTCAGACACTGGGCCAGGACACTGGCAGGGGAGCACACAGCGTGGAGTCAGCCAGACCTGGGTTTGAATCCAAGCTCTGCCACTTGCTGTCAAACCTTGGGTGAGTCCTTGCCCTGTTTTGAGCTTCCTTCTTCTCTGTGGAATGTAGATGACACTAGTTCCTCCCTACCTCATGGATGGTTATGAGGCCAAATGAGAGCCTACAGATTTAGCTCTGTGAATGTTTAATAAGTTAAAGGTGCCATGATTACCAGTCTGATTGTTACCATTCCTTCAATTGCTTCGGTGAAATTCAAAACAAGCCCAGTGTCCTACTGTGCTTCTGCTTCTGAGATCTCGCTTGTCCCTGTCTCCATGGCCTGTTCCCAACTGGTGATTCTCCCATGAGCTGTTCTGTAGATCCTGGCAGGCGCCCGGCTCCACAGTGTTTTAGAAATTCCAGCTCGGGGTTAACCACCCCAGCTGTGGGGTGGGTGCGCAGTAGGTCCACCTTTTGCCCTCTGGAGCTGGCGACTATGAGGAGGACACACCTCTAAAAGGGACGGGGCCAAAAGCATCAACAGAAAAACCAAGAATACTGTCTTGGGAGAAGTGGTCTTGGTACTGTACCAGGCTCTGGGAACACGATCACGACGGGCCCTACCTGCAAGGCTTTAGATCTCAGAGAAGGTCAACCCCAAACCAGAATACAAACAAATAAAATCATCTTTATGTCTGGTCTCTGTCTCAGCACCTTATCTGCCTCACATGTAGCAGAGATCCTGATCTGCACTTATTTTGTTCTCTTCACTCCCAGTTAGTATGCAGGGAAGTTTCTGGCTTGTTCATTGCTCTATCCCAGGACCTCGAAAAGATCTTTGGATAAAAAGTGCTCAGTGAGCAAAGAGCAAATGAACCACAACTAAGTGACACTTTGTGAAACTTTTGTTTGTAGCCCAGAGTTTCAAGTTCAGACTTCTTTGCTGCTAGCTGTGGTCAGTCACCAGCCTATGTAGTGAAAGTTGACAAGAAAATCTACTCTCATAATCCACGTAGCTTTTATTTTGTGAAATGAGTGGGTTTCTTAAGGAGATCATTCTGTTCCCAGATTAACTGCCTGGGGCTTAATGAAAAAGGCCACTAGAGGACATTTGTCTTCTGGACTTGACACTTGAGGCCCGTGGCAGTGCCTGGTAGGAGCGGGCTGGGTGTGGGTGCTGGGCAGTGTGTCGAAGGTGCATGCCTGTGAAGAGTTTCTTACCCTCTCCTCCGCCAGGGTGGCCCCTAGGGATAACAAGCTACTCTCAGTACGTCTGGTTGACAAGAGTTGTAACACCCTGAAATCTGTAATCTGACAGTATCAGGCAGCAGCATAGTCTCTGTAGTTTACAGTCTGGGCAGTACGCAGCAGGAGCTGCCATTTATTGTGGACCTGCTATGGGCCAGGCCTCGTTCCAAGTGCTGTTCACACATCACCTGTGGTCTTCACAGAGCCTGACCTGGTAGATCTTGTTTCTCCTTCACGGAAACATCCAGACCCTCACCTTCCTCACCATGCCCTACAAAGAGCTTAGGTTAGGGACTATAGCATCTCAAGGCGGGAGAAAGCCAGGTGTGGTGGTGCACACCTCTAATCCCAGCAATCTGGGAGGCTGAGGCAGGAAGACAGCAAGTTTTAGACCACCTGGGGCAACTTAGCAAGACTTTGTCTCAAAATTTAAAAATTTTAATAAATAAATAATTAGTTACAATTTTTTTAAAGGACTGGGGTTAGAGGTCAGTGCAAAGGCCCTGGGTTCAATCTCTAGGACCACAAACAAACAAAATAGAAGCGGAACTCAGGGCACAGGCCACTGTAGGCAGGAGGACCCGCCTCCAGCATCCCCCACTCTACCCAGCACATGTTGCTCACTGGTGCAGCGTTCTCCCGCTTGCTCTGTTGTGGAATCCTTCTCAATACAGTGCTCTGGGCAGACCCTACCAGACATTCCACGAGGCAAGTGAGACATAGCCTGTTTGTCTCCCGGGCTTTAAACAGTGTGTGTGAGGGGTTTTCCCCTAAGCCCTTGGCTTTCGAATCCTGGACTCAGAGTCACTGTAGCCACGTAACTTTGAGGACACTGCTTATCCCTACTTATCTGTGTATTTACCAATAGAATGGGCACTATCCCCTGCCCTTTCTGCCTCAAGAGTCACCATATAGGCAGGGCATGATGGCGTGCATCTGTGGTCCAGCCTCCCCTGCAGGCTGATGCAGGAGGATCACTGGAGCCCATGATTTCAAAGCCAGCCTGGGCAACATAGTGAGACCTCTTCTCAAATGAGAAAACAAATGAATAGATAAAACAGATATATTTATATAAGGTCATGAATTGGTGTCATTGACACCACAGTGCTGTTTCACTTGTACCTAAATGATCCGTCAACAAGGGCTAGACCCTGTGAGGACAGGAAGCAGCCTTAGACTTGGCACTTCCAGTAGAGTGGGTGTCAGCGTTTCTTCTCTGCCTCTTCCTTTCCTCTCCTCACCCCTTTCCCCTCCCCTTTGCTCCCTTTCTCTTGTCTAAGTAAAAATCTCCCTTTTACTTTCACGCTATCTTTTTATGTTTCTGGAGTCTACCTGTCAGGGAAAACATGCGATACTTATCTTTTTGAGACTGGTTTATTTCACTTAACATCATGATCTCCAGTTCCATTCATTTTTTGGCAAATGGCATAATTGTGTTCTTCTTCTTTTTTTTTTTTTTTTTGGTACCAGGGATCGAACTAGGGCCCTTGCACTTTCTAGGCAGGCAGCAGAACCACTGAGCTAAATCCCTGGTTTATAATTGTGTTCTTTACAGCTAAATAATACTCCATTGTGTATATATACCATGTCCTCTTTATCCATTCACCCACTGGTGGGCACCTAGGCTGATTCCGTAACTTTGCTATTGTGAATTGTGCCACAGCAAAGCCAGGTATTCGGGTTTCCCTGTAGAGCACCTTCCTTTGGGTCAATACCAAGGAGAGGTGTGGCTGGGTCATCAGCATATTTTCAGGGCTCCTCTGAGAGGCCCCAAATGGAGTGTTTCACTTCCTAAATATCGTGCAGCGAGCTTGTTACTGCAGATGCCAGGGCACTAGCCCAGAACAGCTGGCTCAGCCTCAGGAATGGCTCCTGGCAGGTGCATCTCTAATCATTCCTCAGGTGGTTCTGAAGTACCCTGCCCTGCTGCTTCAGACTCTAGCTCTCCAGGGCTCTGAGTAGAACCATGCTCTCTGTTAGGATTTTAAATATCTAGGTACTGGCTATATAGAAGGAGGCCGCAGCCCCCACCCCATCTTCATCTGGTGAACTCTTACTCATCCTTCAGGCCTATTCGAAGGCCTCTTCCTCTGAGAAGACATCATTACCATGATTCTACACACTTTGAGCCCCTGCTGTATCCCAAGCGCTCTGCCATGTTCTCAAGTGCATTACTGTGTTCAAGCTCTCTTTGTGAGAAGAAACCAAGTTGTTGCCACCCCCCACCTTGCCCACCTTGGAGCTGAGAAAGTGTGGCTCGGAAAAGTGAATCGACTTTCCCAAAGGTGTTTGGCTCGTACTGCATTATGGTTAATCGTGTTCAGTCTGTCTCTCCTACATGAGTGTCAATTCCTTTGCTGAGAGAGTTGCTGACCTTTGCGTTCCTGGGGCCACATACAGAGTGGTACATAGCAGGTGTTCAACAAACCTGTTTGAATTGAATAGGAACAATTCTGGTTGCTTTCCGATTTCTACTTTTGCTCATGGTAGGACAACAGGAGGACTTCTTTAGCGGTTAAAGACTCTAGATACCCCTCAACTTGCCCATCATTTCTGCAGTTCTGGTCATTTGCTAGCTTTCTTCCAAGTAGCATCAGTAGATTTAGAAGTCCTGGGTTAGGGAGGGGCTCGAGAAACTCTTGCCTGGTTGATTGGGCTAGCAAAACAGAAGAGGTGAACTTTCTTATGATTTAGAGGGAGAATTTCTTTTCTTCTTATAAAGAGTAAAGATATTTTTCTACATTTAACTTGGCAGGCTTCCCTAGTCATAAATTTATAAATTAATTGCAAATATAATTACCTTTAGTTCAATGGCTTTTCTGAATCTCAGTTTTCATGGCCGTAAAATAGGAATATTAGAGCAGATATCGAAGGTTCTTTCCAACACTGTGATTCTGTGATTACACCAGGACCCTGGATGAGGTTGAGAACAAATTTATACTCCCCATTAACAGAGCAGCTATGAAAGTGGAATATTTTCAAATGAATTAGATTTTTTTTCCAGTCTAGTTGATTTTTCCAAATTAGTCAGAATCTGACAAAAAAAAAAAAAAAAAAAAGAATAATATGACCCTGATATCTAAATTTCTAAATGCTATGTGGAGAGATTTTTAGAAAAAGGAAATATGAAAAGAGACTGTAGTAGCATGAATAATAATCCAAACCAATTATCCTAAAGTTGAATAGCTTCCCATAATTCACTTACATAGCTTGGTTAAAGGTTTTGGGCAGCACGGTGGAAATGGTAAGGATTGCACATGCTGTTTGATTGCTTTTTTTCTTTTTGTAATCAAAGCCATAATCCTTGTTTACATTTGGACTTTGTTTTGCAGCGGAAACGGAAGCAGAGCACCCAAGATGAAGATGTTGTCAGCCTTTGCAGTCTTGACATAAGTGTAAGTGCAGATCTTTATAATTCCCACCCTGCCCCTTAATTTGTCCGGGTAGAATCTAGATAAATCCAGTTGTACTGTTTAAGGGGTTGATTCAAGAAGACAGATGTTTGTCCCCTGGAGGGGGAAGTTAGTGAATTGGCTGACTCAAGTGGCCAGATGGCCCAGAGGCTGGAAGGGGACTCCAGCACTGTGGTGGAATAAGTGGCTTTGGATTTAGTAGATGTTAGTTTGAATCAAGCTTCTATGCTTATTACTTGTGTGGCATGTTTCCGCATCTGGACAACAAGAATGAAATTTTTTTGAGTCAAATAAAACAATAAAAGTGAGAATAGCAAGTGTATTACCTGGTGCATACTAGGCACTCATCAAACATTAGCCTTAGTGTTTTCTGTAAAAGCAGAAGTTTGCAAAAGAAACTGAAGTGATTTGGGAGCTGATACTGGTGATGATAGAGATAAATCATTTCCTTGGGGTTTTTAGGCCATGTTCTTGGATGCCTATTTTTAGCAGATTTCTGTACCTGGACTCGTATCCTCCAGATGTAACCGGGAAGCCTCCCTGTGCCTCTGATACCCTCGTCATCCAGGAGCTGAGGCTGGGGTGGGGGATTCAGCCCCTCCCTTGGGTTCCTCCTGTCCCCTTATCTGTGCATTTTATACACTTCTTGGGGCTTAACTACTGTGCACTCTGGATCCATCCAACATTAAGCTTTAATGTCTCTCCTCTACAAAGGCCACGAAAGCTGCCATTATGCAATGGGACGGCTTCCACGCTAAGAATTAAGAACTGAGTCGTGGTCTTGGCTCTACCTACAACTAACAATATAACCACTTCTCTTCCGATTGCTTCAGTTTCTCCTTAAAAAAAGAAAAGAGTTAAAGATCAGATCTTCTAAAACAACTGTGAAAATTTGAAATTTACCAAACATGGATTATTAGGTTTTCATGTGATAACATTTATTTGCCAGTATAAACAAGGCTATTTTAGCTATTTTTAGTTATTGCAGAATTTTCTGTGATGCAGTCAGTCGTGATGGAGCGAGCCTGAGCTGGCATCTAGCTAATCTACTTGAGCATCTTTATTCACCATTTGGTATTTATCTGCTCCAGTCTTTGCATCATTTGATTGATGAAGTTGGTCTAGTGTGCTAGATTGCTATGGTAATGGGACAAAAGGATGACATTCTTCTGAGTTTTACTTTACTCATTGAATGTTTTATTGTTGACAAGTGAAGCTGTGGAGCTTCCCTCATCAGCAATAAGAGTTTTTGTGTTTGTACATTTTTAATTTTGAAGAAATTTACTTTTAGAATTTAAAGACTTTCAGGATTTGAAGAACTCTTAGCCATCATCCATTCCAATTCTCTCACTTCACAAATGAAGAAGTGGAAGCCCAGGAAGGTGTAGTGACTTAGGCAAGACTTTAATCCAAGTCATTTATAGGATCATGTCTCATCATATGGTTTTCTTCAACGAGACATTGATATTTATTTTTCAGAAAAGCACGCTCTGGATGCTTTTTATCAAAGAACCACCAACCATGTCTCTGACATGAAAGGCTTACTTGGAGTTAAGAATTAAGAGTTGTGATTTAGTTTTTGTCTTGGTTGGCATCAATGACCTTGCATTCTTATCAAGGTCACTTGAGCTTAAGATAATGAATCATTTTTAGATAAAGAATTTTTTCTCCTTGTGCAGCTGCAGATGATGTTTCCCTTTTTCTTAGCTATCTCATATGTCATGTTTTATTATAGTAATGAGAATTTTATAGAAATCTATCCTGGTACCACCAACAGGGCTATGCTTAGGGATTCAGCCTAAGTCATTTCTGATTTACTCTTCAGTTTTTTTCTGAGTGTTGTCAAACAGACTTCTAGAATTTGGTATGAATTACCTTCACTCATTGTCATGTAGTATTAATAATTGTGCAAGTTACAAGGATCCTAGAAGCTGTTGTAGGGACATGAAAACTGCTGTTTGGCATGTTCTGCTGGCCTATGTGGTCATAGGAAGATACAGGATATGTGGCAGAGCTGGGAGAGAACATGGAAGTGGTATTACTAACTTTAATGCCTTGTCCCCAGGAGGCATGTGTGGGATTAAGTGATGGGTAGAGCCACATATGAGATGTTTGCTATAGATGCAATAATGTCGAAATAAATATCTGAGCCTAGTAAATTAATTATGCTAATAAATGGCCTTCATGAGTTACTCAGAGGGAATTTATCTTTGTGCTTTTAAATAGTAATTTGTGGTAGAGTCCTAGCCAGTCCCTTACCTAACCAGCATTATTGAAGAGATTTTTGGTTTTGGTGGCACTGGGGATTTGATGGCACCCAGGGCCTTGGGCATTGTAAGCATGCACTCTACCACTGAGCTACAGTCCCAGCCCAGAAATTGTTTGTTGTTGTTTTGAGATGGATCTTGCTGTTTTGCCCAAGCTGGCCTCAAAATCTTGCGCTCAAGCAGTCCTCCTGCCTTAGTCTCCTGAGTAGCTTGGGACCACAGTCACATGCCACCACACTTAGCTAAGGAGTTGTTTTGAGTCTGCTTCTATATGTAGTGGAAAGTACCTGAAAAAAAAAAGTGGGTTCCAATGGATGACTCATACTGGAGGATGTGAGGGTTTAGGAAAGTAATATTGGTAACTCTCAATTTTGATTCCATTTAATAAGTGGAAAGACAGTCACCAGATGTGTGCTATGAACAAGAAGGTGGTAAATGAGGGTATGGGGTCTTTCAGGAATCATGGTCAAGTTTCCATTGAGTCCCAGCCCAATGTTGGGTACACAGTGGGCTCTTGATAAATACTTACAGTTGATTTTTTTTTAATATGGTGAATTTCTCTAGTGTTCCCCCCAAAATATATCTTGAGATTAAAAAGTTGGAAAATGTTAGCTTGGGTGAAATTGGGTGATTAAAAACTAAATGCCATATAACACCCTGCAGAATTTCAGAATAATGATAACATCAGACATTCCCACTGACATCTTGGCTTATTTTAAAGCCTCAGACGATGATTCTGATAGTTGTCTAGAAGGGAGTTTTCCTACTAAATCTCCCTCTGATTGCTTAGGAAACTTGGGATTAAAAGACCAAATGAGAGTGGGCCCACTAGGAAAAGCTAATTCTTACAAAACACGGATCCTCAGTTGTGTGGGGTGGTGATAGCGCCGGGTTCCAGAAAATTTTACAAGACTCACATGTGATTGCAGGCCTTCATGGACCCTCAACCGAGCCCCTGTGTTAAGAGCTTCTCTTACAGAGGGAACTAGAAGGATCTTAAAGCCCAGTGAGGGGTGACATATCTCCAAAGAATTGTTTTCCTGCCCTCCCCTCCCAGCATTTGGTGAAAAACAGATTTGGACTGGAGAGTATGCACTAGTTGACAAAATAATTAGTTTCTATTTTTTCCCACCACTTCACCCTGTGCATTGGCTGAGCCCCCAGCTTCCGGGCAGAAGAGAATAAAACTATTCCTCAGGGGAAAAAAGAGGCAACATACAGTTTTGAGAACAATTTGCAGTTGAAGAAGGCTCCCCACAGCCACCTACAAAGCTTCTCTTGCGTCAGCAGATATGAGTGGGATGGTGGCAGCGACAGTGCTGCCCCTACAGCGCTTTTCTAGTTTAAATTCTGAAGGCGAGACATGGGAAAGAGCAGCTCTCCTCACGCCCCAGCCAAGGGCCTGCTCAGTGCCAAGCATTATTTCTCTAGAAACAAGCAGGCCCTGCCCTGGATGTAGAAGAAGTTTCCAGCGATGAAGTAATATAAAAGATGAAGAGGAATATATGTAGTCTTTGTAGAAAATTTGGGAGATGTGATCAGTAGGGTTTGACATTCCCACCTAAAAGTAGTAGCTACATTTTAATGTATTTCCTTCCAGTCATTATAGATACCTCTTTAAAATGTTTTCGTTCTAAAATATTTCAGACATACAAAATAGTATAAAGAGAATATAAAGCCCCACAGGCTACCGGTGCAACTGAAGAGACACTTCCTTACCAGCAAAGGCAAAGACTGTTGAAAACCCTTTGCTCAGCCCACTTGGGTGCTTACTGCTATCTTAGCTGTCCGTAAACACTGCTGTGGACATCATCCCTAAGCAGTGCATGTATTTTAAACCAGCCTGTAAGATTATATAGCACACGGGACTTTTCAAAATTGAGATCATAACAGAAATTAATTTATTCCTGTGCTCTTCCCTTACTATGTTGAGAAGATGATGCCGTATCCTGAAATATCCTTCAAGAAAATTATTTTTATTACATACAGAGTGCTTTGTCAAGTGAGCACACCAAATTTATTCAACCCATCCTCTCTTGGGAATTCAGCCAAGTTCTGACTTTTCTGTATTATAAATAGCACTAGTGGGCATCCAAGAATATCATTAAGTGATCTCTTTTACGAGTAGGATGAAGTATGACATACGAAATTCCTGGGTAAAGGGGCAATGCCTAGTTTGTAAACTTGTGAACAGGTTTATACCCCTTCTGGCAGCTGAGCTGGCAGTGAGAGGTGGAAGCAAAGTTTAGGGCTGTTGAGCATTACAGGAATGGGAGAACATCTTCATGTTTCCCTGGTTCATCCTTTTCCCCACAGCATCACTTAGCTTTTTTTCACTTAGCTTACCCGTACACGTGTGCAGTACTAATGTCTGCATTCCTTGGGGGAAATTGGCACACGTACACAACACACCTTGTTTCCTCTTTTTTTTTCATTAAGTTTATTGGTACATTTTATTTTTTTATTGGTACATTTTAGATGTACAGTACAGTTACATTCATCATTGGGATCTTGTACCTTTACATGAGTCTCTTGGTTCTTATTTTTCCCCCATTCCCTGCCCACCCTTCACCCCCCCCTTCCCTATTTACAAAGACTTCGTTTCCAGTTTTTCCTTTTCTCATATTTTTTCTTTTCCCTTCTTTCCTTTCCCCTGCCCCTCCTGCTTCCCCCACTCCTTTAGACCTTTTCTTCCTATTACACAGTATCAATTAT